GGGCGCCCGGCTCTGCACATGCTCACTCGCGCGGCCCGGGGACAGCGGCCGGCCGCCTCCGGGTCCTAGCGGCGCCGGCGCGCACACCCGCCGCTCTCCTGGAAGAAGGGGTCTGGGCTTAGGTGCCAGGGGACCCACACTCTGACCCGGCTCCTGAGACAGGCACACGCCACGGGCCGCACGCGATGCTACCAAGTCAAGCCGCTGACACCCACTGTGACACTCTCTCTGCCACAACCTTGCATTGGAGCCTCGCTGGTTCTAAAGCACACATTATGGCGCTTAACACCCCCCCCCCACACACACACTAAGCACTGAACACTGTTTGAGGGGCATGCCGCCACACTCACTCAGATGCAGACACAGTGACAGACACACCGTCTGGTACAGATACACACGGAATCACCGCTTCACAGACATACACCGACACCCCCACCACACACACACTCTGAGCTCGGCCCACCCTAAGCAACAAGCTGGGGCAGGACGACAGGTGCGTGCGTGCCCGCGAGCGCGCGAGCGCGCGCACACACACACACTATGTACTTTGTAGCACTGTGATAAGAAATTACGGAGTCATAGACACACACTGAGTCACCATCCCATGCGGAGTGAGACACTGACAACGACATCTTTGGCACAGACACACATATGTATAGACTCTGCCACACACACACATCCAGAAACAAGCACACACTAGAGCACACACACAGAGTATCTGAGACAGTCCCACACCGAGCCACAAGCCCACAATGCACTGGCACCATCTCCCTACACATGTAGGGCTCTGCCAGCAGGTGGTCACACTGCTCTGCACTGACACACTGACAGACCCCTCCTTGAGCCAGTTACCCACAGAAGTGTTGCCACACACCAGATGGAGTCCACTAACAGACACTCTTGTATAGAGGGTCACACTGGGCATCTCCCCACAGGCGCGCGCGCGCGCACACACACACACACACACACACACACAACCCTCCTCCCCCTTAAATAAAGTCTGGGTCTAACCTTAAGGATTTCCCTTCACTGAGGAGTCCCACCCCTGCTCTCCAGAAGCTTTCAAGTCACAGCATGCACCCTGTCCTGTCAGGTGCCCCTGGCACCCAGTCCTCACCCAGGGCTGGCTGCTAAGATGCTCCCAGAGGCTGAGAAGAGTAGAGGCGGCAGGTGCAGGTGGAGACGGCTCTGTCCCCATCTTCCTGAAAGGGAGTTGCATGCCTCCGACTCCCGCTAGGGGCAGAGCTGCTTGGCAGAGCTGCTTGGCCGGGCTCAGAGGAGCTCGCTGGATTTCAACAGGTGCAGGGCAGCGGGAGAGGATTAGATGGGGACCCGTCCTAACAGGCTTCATGCAGGTCAGTCAAGGGCCACCCAGAGGGGAAGGGACTCACGGAGGTCTGCACAGCTAGTCAAGCCAAGCACCGAACTGGAACAAAGTCCATGGCCATGAAGTGACAGTTGAGCTCTCTGGATCCCAGGGGGGACTGGGTGAGGAACCAGGGGATAGGAGGCAAATTCTGTGCGATCCCAACATTCCAGGCTTGCAAAGGAGCCTTCCCCCATCCATGTTCTGTGCAACATGTGAAATTTGTGTTGTCAACAATGGCATCCCACTGTGCACCTTTACAATGCTTTTTGGTCTTTATAGTCTTTCTAGGAGGAGCTACATAATTCAATGCAACAGGAAAATTTGGGGTCCATGTTCAAGAATTATCAAGAATTTCAAGAAATGAAAGCAGGGTATTATACCAAGTGTAGGGCCTTCCTGAGCATAGATGTGTAGTTCTCCTGCCTGAGAAGCTAGCCAGCCCTGTCCCTCTGGTACCCATTGTTCCACTTAAAACTCACAATAAGCTGCCTTTATGTGCTCAAGATGAAGCTCTTGGCTCCCAGAGGTGGATAATTACAGCAAGGAGATCCTAGGTGAGCTCAAATCCACTCCTCTGGGAGTCTAGCGCTGCGCTGCTGCTGCCACTCAGAAGAGGCAACCTTGGAGAGAAACCATATGGGACAGAGGTTGCAAGTTGAGGAGTCTGTGGGCTACCAAGGAAAGAGGGGAGCACTGGGAAGGGCCCAATGTCGCGATATACCTGTGCAGCAAGCCTCTGCAGGGAAAATAGGTAGGAATACCTGCTGGCTCCAGGGAGAGATGTTGAGAAAGGGCATTGTCATTGAGAAGGGCTTTCTAAAGGAAGCCAGGAGTATTTCAGCATTGGCACAAAGGCCTCTTCCCTTGCAATGGTGACAAATAAGCAGGTGTGAGGAGGCCATGTGGGCTAGGTCTGAGAGCCACTCCCAGCCCACACCAACTCCCTGCCCTGGGTCCTTTCTACATAGCCGGGACTGTTGGTATTTATTCGTACATCCCTTTTGTTCATGTCGCAAAAGCATCTGTGGGAAGAGATCTTAATGTCACAGAGGCTTCAGTGGTGGTCCCACCACGATGCTGACACATATCTAGTTCTTGCTTCTCCTCACCTCTGGGACTAAGAATCGAATCAGAGCAGCCTGATCTCACTTCTTCCCGTCTCTCTGACTCTTGACTCCATCTGCTGCTCTCTCTCAGGACCTTTATTGGATCCCCACTATGTACACTGCCTCCTAACTTCATGCCACCTGCTGGTTTTCCCTCCCTGTATCCTTTCATTTTGTCACCAGGCAAGGCAGCATCTTGTGTTACATTTTTGTTATAAACACTGGTGACTGATAGGAAGCAGCAGTCTCCTCAATGAGCCTGCACTGTGGAGACCTGGTCCAGAAAACAATCCTAAAGTCATGGCTGACATGTGTGTGAACCAAAACAGCATCTGCCACAAAATAAGCGCATAACATATTTTAGTTAATATTAGATACAGGGGCTTTTTTTGCCCCAAGACTTTGCTAGAACCCAGAAATGCTATCATGCCATGCTTTCCTAATCCACCAGGTTCGTACTGTTTTCCCTTCCTCTAAAAGCTACCTCCCGAGAGAGGTCCTCCCCAGTCCAGCCAGAGTGTTCAACCCACTTTCCAGTTTCCAGTCCTCCTGAAACTCAGCACCCCACTATCAGTCTGTTATCTACCACTTAACTCCTGTCTTCTCCTTCTTATGCCTTGGGGACCTCAAGCTAGAATTCCAGGGCCTACCACAGCCAGGGAAATTTTTGTGTCATACACAGCTATAGTGTTCATTAGTGCCTAGCTTAATTCTTGGCACATAGGCGGGCTCACTAGATAGTTATTAAATAAACAAGTGATTTGTAAGATGCAGTGTGCCTAGAGGGACACATTTTTAGTGAACTTGCGTGAGTTGCCAATGGATGGCGTGTTCTTTTTTCTCAAGAACTCAAAAGATTGCTTGTTCTTGCTCTGGTCACAAACCGATTCCTGTTTGTACACAGCCATGTCATGATTGTGCATCAGATTCTACTGGCCACCAGGGAGACACACAGACAACGAGAGAGAGAGACAGAGAGAGAGACAGAGAGAGAGAGACAGACAGAGACAGAGAAACAGAGACAGAGACAGAGAAACAGAGACACAGAGACACAGAGAAAGAGAGAGAGGGATTGTTCACTCACCCCATCCTCCTGCCAGGAAATAGTAGCAGGTTGAGGAAGCAGGCGGCCCGTCACAACATGGGACCACTTGTATCTGCATATCCTCCCCCTTTAATTGCAGGGGGAGGGCTGCTGCTCTACCACTACCTTGGCCGCCGAGGTGACATGGACTTGATCAGCCAGGCAGCCTGTGAAAGCTGCCTGAACTCTTGGACATTATATGTGGGAAGCAGTGCAGCATCTCCAAAGGAGAATGTACTTTCTTCTATCTTCCTTTGCATATCTTTTCCATGGTGGTGTGAACTCTTTGATGTCTGCTCCATGCAGTCAGACCTGAAGCTGGGTTCAGCACTTTGCTGGGCTATGTATTTACTTGCTTTCTCCTGTGAGTGCTGCAGCGACTTAAATATGCCTCTGTAAAGATGCCAGTGACACAGATGGTAATTGCACCCCCTGCCAAGCTGGGCCTGCAGACACAGAGAGGTAAGGGTGTGGAGGAGGGCAGAGAATCTGTACCTGCCTGGGAGGGAGGGCCTCCCTGAGCACTGCTCTAGTCTGGGAGCAGTTGGACTCTGTGGGAATGAGCCAGAAGGACCCAGAAAGTTTTCAGAAATCAGAGGTGGCAGAGAGGGAGGAAGGGAGGGAGAGAGAGAGAGGGAGAGAGAGAGAGAGAAATAAATCTGAGTTTCTTTTTTGTCTGAGTAGGCTGTGCAGCAAAATTACTACTGTGCATGCAAAATTTACTACTCTGATCCCTGGTTTGATCCTCTATAAAATGGTGAGATTGTCTACTGATGTCAAAGGGCATTTTAAAAGATAGACAGAAGAATAAGAAGAGAGCAATTTGGAGCCTATTCTGCTTCTATATTTGGGCAAATTATATCATTTCTAGTAATTTTGCCCTTTATATTTGTTCACTTGTTTGTTTGGCTTTAATGCTTGTTAACAAGTGTCCCTTTTATAGCTT